TCCTGGGCTTGAGCTGCAGGTGCTGACAGGCTAAAGCATAACAGATCTGCTAAGACCCTGGCATCCCCTCCCTCTTTCTTGAAAGCTGCTTAAAATAAAACCATTAGCCCAAAGTTATCAGCAGCACAGAGCTGCGAAGGCAGGAGTCGCTTCAGCTTCCCATTCAGACAAAGCAAGTGTATGGTTTTAATTATGGGTGAGTCCATGGATGTTGTGCTGAGTACAGCCACTCGCCCCCTCCCAGTTCCAGACACAAATGCTCCGTTCCCCAAATTGCTGCCGACTGGCCTGGGATTGGGTTTTATTGCGGACAAGCAAGCCAATTCTTTGAGGGCGAGGTTAATTCAAGCAGTCCCATGTAGAGCCTCATCCTGCAAATGGTTAAATGCTCAACCACGCCTGCAAAAATGAGTTAAGTGCGAAGCTGCCTTTCTGAGGGTTTGTGGGACCAAGGCTGCAGCCCCCTTTTCTCCCCGTTTTCCCAGTACTTTTTCCCTGATGGGGGTGGGGGGGAAGGGGACATTGATAAAAGGAAAAGAGGACAAGTCAGTCAGATTCAAGTACAACAAACTCGAGCTGTCTAAAGATTGTTATCTTCATTTACAGAATTGAAACATCAGGAACCTATTAATTGAAGAAAACAGCAGATTTATCCCAAAGTGGGAAACCTCACAGAATCAAAATATCTCTCCAAATATTAAAATTAAGAAGTCTGCTCCTACTGCCTGGTCAGCAAACAGACTCTAAGAAACAAATCAATGTGTTAAATGTGTGTTAACCAAAACTTCTGATCTTTTGTAGTTACTGATCTAGGAATACAAATTGTACTGCATTAAGCAGAAAAAAGGGAATATTTTTATTTAAAACAGAGTAAGGCAATGTGGCTGTAATAACCCATTTGTGTTGCTTTTGTACTTGGGTAATGAATGTCTGTAGTATAAAGTGCTCCTAGTTTTTGCCTCAAGGTCTTGTCAATCATTACCTGATAAATAAAAACTTCAAACAGGCTCCTTTTAGCTTAATTGGGCAGAATTTATCTCCAAAGAAATGGCAGAATACAGAGAATGATGTGTTAGTGGCAGCAGTGGAAGTCAGCATGTGGGGTATTTGGATGGAAAGGCAGAGGATGCAAATTCTGAGCTCAGAAGATGAGTCGTCTTGGTTTTACTTCTCCAGAAAGCTCTGTTCCCATTGCAGGTTCAGCTGAAAGGTCTGAACAGAGCAGCAGAGGAAATCCCGCAGTCCTTGGTGATGTCATGGAGCTGCACGTGTGCGAGCCCTGCTCTCCCTCTCTGGGTTTAGACTTTACAGCTGACACTTCCATAAAACTCAAATCTTAAAATAGCACTAAGGCTTACTTAAATCATTATCTTTCATTGTATGAACACTGGCAGCAATGGAGGCTGTTTCCTGCTTAGGGACAAAAGGATCCTATTGTCCATACTGGAACAGATCTAAAACAGCTCAATTAAGCAAACAACATCCTCAAACTTTGGCCTGAAAGAAAGCTAAAATGACTGATCTATAAAACATTTTAATTGTGCTTTAAAATGTCATTACTCTGATAAATCCAGCAGTTTTGAAGCTGGTTCACTGGAGTTTTATGGTCCTGCCAGTTTATGGCAGTGCACGTATTTCCGTCAAGGATTCCTCTTCCAGAACAGTAGATGAGGAGACAAAGCCATGGCAGTGCTGCTGACCAAGGGGAGGCTGCAACCAGCTTGGGAATGGAACAGCGTTTTGGCTCCCAGACTGGGAAAGCTCCTGAGAAGCACATTCAGCAACTTGTGTGTGTTTGTGGCAGGGGGGGGAACCAAAGTATAAGGCTGGAGGTGTTGAAGTTGGTGGTAAAGCTGCTGCTGGCAGTAAGACCGGCACTGTGAAGCAGGATGATTTTTCTGGGTTTTGGTTTTTGTTTTAAATTTTTCCTCCCCTTGCTGGAAGCACCTCTGACTTACAGTGGGTGTAAATGCAGGGAGTTTGGACTGTATGGAGATATACCAGAAGGTCCTCCTAAAATTAGTCTGAGCACACAAAACCTGAGTTTAGGTCAATAAGGGTCTTTCCACTGATCCTTTGCTGGACTTCTGATCAGTGCATGAAGCAAATTTACTCATGAATTTGTAATTGCTTGTGAAAAATGGTAGTTAACTCCAAAATGCTGATGATTTAAGCCTCTGGATCAGAAAATACACGCACATAAACTGGCACAACTCTGCTCATGGTTCAAAGTAAGCAAGAACCCAAAAACGGCTGTTATGCCCTGAAGATACAATGTTTAGCTAATACAGGGATTTAGACCATTATTTTTTTCAGCTGCCTCCATAGCAATGCGGTGTGGTATCCACAGTAGGAAACCTTATGCCAGCAGCATCTCTGAAATATGCTAAAACAATCTAAATTAGAAAATGTCAGCTTCTTGGCTGATGTTCCTTCGGAGTTTCTTTTTTCCTTTCTTGTGCCTCTATAATTTTATTGGGATGACTAAATCTCTGAGCTATGTTAGCAGTAAACAGAACTAATTTACCCCCTGCTTCTTTGAAACAGCTGCTGACAGCTGCACTATAATTCAATCATGGATCTTTGCAGTACAGTCTGCAAAACATACTCATATTATTTTGTATTCTTCACTCTCTGTTGTATTTGCTCTGAAGGAGTAGCACCAAATAGTGACATGTGCCTTTTTTGCCCATACATAGAGACTGATCATCAAGAAAACAGAGGCTCAAGATGAAATGCTGCCCAGCTAAAAAGGTTCTTTGAATATAGAGAGAATAACCACACAGATACAGTGTTGTTGGGATATCTTTTGTAAAGTTGCAATGATTTATTTTACTAGTTTTTGTACAAAAGGCTTCTGACAACTGCTCTATGAAAAGAACCAGAAACGTGTATGCATTTTTGCCAACTATTAATAAATATCTTCTTAAATAAGGAAACAAATGTGTTTAGGAACTGAGAATAATTTTTCCTGGATGTGATTGAAAAGGAATTCAGAGATGGAAATAAATAATTCTTCTTCCGCTTGTGACAACTATTTACATAAAAATGTACAAACAGTGAAGCTGATGTTGAACCTAGCAACAGAAATCCTGTTATTATGTTTAAGAAAACAAATCAAAACAGAAACAACCCCACATAATATTTAATATATGAATCCTATACACCAAGATACCGTGGTCCAAGTTAAAAAGGCAATACACCAATGCAGTGACCACCAACACTGAAACACCCGCAAGAAAAACTACTCCTTGACTACTAAATAGTGGAAGTTTAGGCATGATTAGCTTTTAACTTTCTAGGCAGCACCTTAACTTCCTTTAGGAGGTTCCAGAAGCACTGGTATACCTATACGATGGCAAAAGATGCTTCCAATCTGTGTGATTTCAATACCTCACTCTAAATAAGAGATGCACCGAGGGTAGTTTTGGCTGTTTATCATTGATGGTCTCTTCTGCAGGCTCCAGGGAGTGTGGGCTTTTAGCTTCAGCTGCTGGCCTGCCATTTGGCTGCCTCCATCTATTTGGCCAAAGTCTCACCTTGGGGCAGGTGGGAAGTTTGCTGGCATCACTCTTGCGGAGCGTCTATGCTGTGGCCAGGCTGGTCCTGCAGAGGTTTGAGTCGCCCAGGTCAGAAGCTTGGGTACGTGTGGTAATGGGCAACTGCTCACACAGGCCCTGGTCCAAAACCTACCCATGTCACGGTCAGACCTCTACGTTCCCATGAGCCTAATCCTGCTACTGGGAAAACTCCAATTGACTTAAATGAGATGAGAATTAGACCATCAGAAACAAGTTTCTAATTTATTTTATAGACAGTAATTTTCTGTCTTCCTTTGCTTATTCTTTTTAAAGTGAGGCATCTGGTCTGGATTTGATCTGTGACTTAAAGAAGAAGAGCATTTATCTTCTTTCTCTAACTCTCCTCTAAGGCAACACACGGAGCCAAGTTCTCACTGCAGCTGCATCACCCTGTCCACTCGCTGCACAGAGACCCCCATCTCTGGGGATTTATTATGTCCTGGACCCATCTGTTGAAGGCTTAGGTTTTTGAAGTTTGGAGATTTAGAGCTGGGTGTGCTGAGGATATGGTGTTTTATTGGACAGCATTTTCTTTATTATATCCATGGTGAAATCTGTGCCAATCCTACTTTTGTAATCGCAATGTATGCCAAAGTGTTGAATCAGTTTGTGATTGGTTACTGCTCTTATTGTATTCTTATTCACAACAACTTTAATTGAGTTTTAATTACATAAGTGTGATGTTTGTGTAACCTGTGACTTTAAAAGAAGGAAAAAGAAAAGCCTTGAGGGGATGTTTTCTTGCTTCTGGTTCCAGCTTGTTGTGTGGCTCTTGAAAGAGATTTAGCTTTAAATTTTTAAATTTTTTTTAAAAGGTGAAGCCAATAATAGAGCAGGTGTTTTATCATAAACACTGACCCTGGGATGTAAGGTTTCCTAGCTTGTTTCTAGCTGAGCCTGTGTGGTGCTGGGTGTACGGCCCAGCTTACAGCACCTACTGCACTTGAGCCTCTGCATTTTCTGCAAAAGCTTTGGAACTTGTTCTGTCAGTGAAGTCAATGGACATTTTCCAAACAGCAGCAGGATCCTGAGCTGGCTTTCACAACTCCGTAACTGCTCAGGATACCCGAGCTCAAAGCTAGGTTTAATCCCTGTTTCTTAACATTCTGCTGCTTTCCTGTTTCAAGTTCATAGCAAACGCAAATTCTCTCTGCTTCTAGAGGAAATTTCTTTCTCTGTTGACAAAAAAAAGTATACCCAAAAAGTCTTGCTCTTTCCAAGTTATTTTCTTCAGTTCTTTTTCTTGCCAATTAGACTTTTTTTTCCTTAGACTAATCTGTCCTTTGAACTTGAGTCAATCCAGATACAGCTTTTGATACTGTAGTTTAAAACTGGAAGTTGCATGTAATTGATCTTTGCAGCAAACAGAGAGATAGAGGTAATAATTTTCTAACAAAATACCTGTTCACTCCAGGTATATTTTGTTCACTTATTTTATTGCAAACTGTATTACAGGAACTACACATGCTTATTAGTCACAGCACATTCTCACCTTGGATAGATTATTACTTTTTAACTCACAATCAACACTAGTGAGTTTGCAATCTTCAGACTCATTTGCAAAAGTATGTACTGTAGGAGCCAATTTTGTAGGCAGATTTGGTTTTAAATGGTTTCTCTGGCTTGTTTCAGTTTACAAGCTCATTGTCTGTAATAAACGAAAACAAAATGTCTTCAAATGCCACTTAGATCCAGAAACTATTCCATTGTCTGAACTTTCAGAAGCCCAGTCGTAAAAACTGTTTGGGATTTTCTTAAACCCATTGCTGGAGTGCTAACCTTTTCCCCTCCCCCACGCAGCCGTACAAAACCACTCTTTACAAATAACTTTTTCTCACTTTCCTACCAATCTAATGACAGCCACATGCTCGTACCACCATGTTCCTGTATTTTTTTAAGATAACATTGGAGCTGTCATCAAAATAGAGCACTGAGATGGCATTGAGTTGTGTAGGAGCACAGCAGGGTTTCGGCACAGTCTCTGGGTTTATAAAGTGAACCTGGGGAATAAAAGTAGATGCATGTTAAGATTTACTTTTCCCCTTTCCCCGGCACATTTTTCTTTTCCAGGCAACCTTCTGTCTGTCCCATACACTCATGCAGACATGTTTTAAACACCTGGCTTTGTGTACAAACATCTTGAGATGTCCCCGGCACGTACGGAGGCTGACGCACGCACCCAAGTCAGATCTTGGGTGAATCTTTCAGTGAAGCAGGTTTTCATTAGAGAAGCCCCATTTGTCAGAAGTGTACCAGTTACGGTATACTCTGCGGGATGCGCGGGAAAGGCTTTGAGAGAAATGCTGTCAGTATCGAGACCCATCTGGGGCCAAGGGCTCTGGGTCCCCTGGCCTCCCTGCTGCAGGACCTCCAAGAGGAGGGGAAAAAAAGCAAATAAAAAGCAATCTATGAGGAGAAAAACATGCAGATATTTCTTCCCTTGGAAATGTAGACGCTTCTTGTTTCCCTAATACTTTTTGTGATGTCATCCTCAGATGTACACAAGGCACGGGATGTGGTGAAAAGGTGGGGTGACACGCAGGTGTGTGCAGGGGGCCTGGGCTCTCAAGCTGGACCCGAGCTGTATAGGGGAGGGTGACCAGGCCGGTCAACTGGGGGTGCTGCATGGCCAGGGCACTCGGGACCAGTGCATCTTCTGGCCTGTGCCAAGAGCTCTGGTGCACTGGCTTTGGTGGCACAGCTGGGCTGGGCCCCCAGCCAACATCCCCCTGAGCACTGGCACTGTCATGGGGACACACCAGCTCAGGGTTCCCACATGGACAACTTTGTGTAATTTCATAAAACAAATACACCCACAGAGCAGCTGTGGGCTGCATAATTTTGGGATTCGCTGACCCATTCTTCATTCTGCCCCCAGATCTGCTTTTGGCCACAGCATACAGTGTATCCTTATGGAGTTTTTCCAAGAGATGCTGATAGTGGGTCTCACATCCTGCTCTTTCCTTCCCATGCAGTGGGACTACACCACCATTAAGATATCTATCATGGGGCCCTTTTAAACTAGAGAGAGCGTGTCAATGCTTGCAGCAAAGACAGGGTAATTCCTAGCCAACTACTAATTCAGGCCACTTGGCTAGACATGTTGAGCCAGATGCTGCAGGCATTGTAATGCACTAATGCAGACTTTCCTCCTCCTGTTCACTTAAGAGATTTTCTTGGGGTATAAACTTATTTCTGAGCAGCACCCATCAGCAATAACTCTGTACTAGGAGTACAGTGCACCTACCAGTGTCTGTACAATGGCATGATTTGTAGCGTTCATATATGAATTCAGTGGGAAAGCACATTCTCCTTCACAGTAATACGCAGCGTAGCCCTCTGGAGCGATGATCCAGTCCTTGAGTAAATTGAAGAAGTTAGATTGTGGAGAAAGACAAAAATATTGTGCAGTGAAACAGAAAGTAAAATAGCACATAAATCTAACAATTCATACATCCACATACAATTACCGTGGCCTGCAAAATAAAAACCTGGTACATTGGCCTTTCTGATGCTATCTTATACACCAGTAAAGCGGCTGCTTTTCCTGGAGGAACAGATCCCACTTTGCCAATGTGCCCAGGGAGGAGCTGAACTAAGGGTTTAGCTGTTTATCCATTCAGCAGTGTCCTCCCGGCTGACCACAAGCATCACTTTGCCCATCGCTGAAATGCAAGTACGAGGTTTCAAAAACTAAAATGCCTTTAACCGGATCTAAAAGAACCGATAAATGAAAATGGACAGCTGTATGTGCATTCAGCACTGCCAGAGGAAATTCAGGCAACTACAGTTTTGTACAAGGACCTAAGTGTGCTGAGTTTCTAGCCAGCCCCACACTAAGTATTTGTATACTCTAACTTTGTGGAAGCACTTATTAAGCACACTAAAGGTAATACACATCTTTTCCTTCAGAGATTAAAAAAGAAAAATGAAATCCAGTTATTGGCTTGTTCTCCCTATTGCAGCTCAATAAGCGATGTGCAAAGGCCGCGCACAGCCCTCACCTGCCACCCCAGGTCCCTGAAGCTGACGTAGAGCTCGTGCTTCTTGCAGGCTTGTCGCTGGTCGCTGCTGCTGTTCTCTGCATGGGGGGAAAGGGAGCTGTGAGGAGGGTGGGGGCCACCCCAGCGCCCACAGCAATGCCTCAGTACCTACAGCAATGCCCCAGCAGGGAGTGAGGCATCACTGCTCATCTGTGGCACTTGTGGCTTTTTTTTTAATATTTTCAGTTTTAGTCAAAAAAATACATGTGAAATGCCCCTCTGGCTTTTTCTGTAAAGCCAAAAAAGGCATGGGAAAATAGGTTTGGGGTTTTTTTTCTGGGCTTCCTCTGACCTCATATGAGCAGAAAGCAGACCTCTGGTTATTGCCTAAAATGAGAACCTGTGAAAGGAGTGAAAGGGAAAGGCCTCCTTTACCTATTTTCTAAATTTTTCACTGTCTTTGAATCACTTGTGTTACTGGTGATAGTTGCCTACAAAGGCAACATAGGACATTAAGGTAATGTGGAATCTGTTCTTCTGTCCAGTGCAGTTGGGTCCAGACCACAGACTTGGCTGAAGCCAAAGAATAAAGGGTCTGAATCGTGGATGTGAACAACCATGGCTATCAGTGCAGTTTTAAAGTTGTGTCCATCCTGGACATACAGTTTGAGCTGAACACCCAAGCAGAAGTACTGGAAAATATTTCTTCAACTCTTGTTGTTGGAAACTAACCCAACATGGGTCCCCACACTGGAAGCAGAACACTGATTACAGGGACTTGTCTAATCTACTTAAAAAGAAAATTCTTTTGTCCACTACCCATCCTTTACAAATGGAATTGATGTATCAGATGATAAAAACACACACTTAAACCGCAGACCCTCTGTGCTTGGGGAACTACAAAACCCTGAGCTCAGAAGCATAACCCACGGAAAACCATTTTAAGATACTTCAGGATTTTGGGTGCACCTATCTCCGAGGCTGCAGAAAAAAATCTTTAGTTCTAGGACAGGAATGACTCAATTAAATATTGGGAAGCTGCAACACGACTGATGGGAGAGAGTTCTGCCATGGCCTTGCAGGTAACCCCAGGCAACCCAAGGTGGAGCTGAGTCACCTAAGACGATGTTGTGCCCTACGTTGTCCTATTCCTTCCACCCCCTGCCAGCTCTTTTTCCATTCAGAGAAGCGCTCGCACAAATAGAGCTGGAATTTGCCACTGTCCTCCGTGGAGCTGGCCCTGTGGTTCCTGCTGGGAAGGTCACCAAGGGCCCATTATTCTGAGGTATCTCGTAATTAAGCCACGTCTCTATTTTCAATGCCTGATGGAGTTTTCTTCCATATTAGGAAGCAGAGCTCCCACCAAAATAGCTGCAATTATCCTGAGCAACGAATGGGTTTTGCTCTTCCATGCAAAACTTTTGGGACTACAAAACTTTTTGGGAACTGAACTTAAAATCACAAACTCTGAAAATCTACATTTTTATTCAGATCCCCTGAAATACAATATTGTTTTTATCACTTACTCATTGGTTTAATGTAAGGAATTGGTATTCTATTTCAAAATGAGAATTTATTTCATGTGGTAGAAAAGGAGATTTTCAGGTTAGATGCCTTTTTTTCCCCTATTGGATTAAGAAATACTGCAGTTTAATGTTGTTTCAAAGAAACATTAGTTTTCTAACTTTTTTGGAATAATTCCTCCTCCAAAGTAGTTTCAAACCAGCAAGGGAACACTGGTGATAGACCAGAGAGACAACAAACAGACTGAATATGGGAGAAACTCTTCCCATCTGGTGTCAAGTCCATCAGAGCATTATCCCGTGTCCAGAAACACCAACCCCGCAACCTGCCCTGTACCTGCAATGTTTGACACCCGGAAAGCTTCCTGGTTCTTTGGTGTTTTTGATCGATTCTGGCTCCTTTGCTTCCCTCCTGTGGAGCGAATGCTGCGGAGGTGGACCTCGGTGGCTTTGAAAAAGGCTACGGTGAACGGCTGCTTGTTCTGTGGGCCATGCCTTCCAATGAGACCCGCCAGTTTGGGATTGATGCTTTGCCCTTAAGAACAGAATGGGCTGATAAGTAGGTTTGTAGTAACTTTTCATTTTTCAGTAGACATAGTAAGGACAAGAAAGAGAAAAGCTGCAGCCTGCCTGGTAGGGGTGATTCCCAGGCATCTCTATGTGCCAATCCACCAAGGGCCTGGACTTAATTGGCAAAGCTGCTTCTGACAAGAGCAGCCCAGCACAGCTAACTTCATTTTATATCTGCATGTAAAAGTTACATAAAATAGTCCTACATGTAATTATTTTACCCTAAATCCACTTATCATTAACTTTTCCTGCATTCTTTAGAGGGGTTTCTTTAAGTTCACCAACATATAATTTGAAGTGATCCTATAAAAGGAACCATAAAATTTAGCCCATAGGAACACTAAATTCCCACTGGAAGGTTATTAACTGAAAATAAAAAAATGCCTTGCATGAAATGTTGACCACGTTCCAGATATACTGTAGCTGAAACAAACAGATCAGATGTTTGGAGATATTTTGCTTATTGCTCTGTCTCAGCACTGCTGTACCCGGTAACTTTGTTCTAAAACTGTTGATTACTCCTCATGCTTCCTTCATCCTGGGCTTTTAAAATAATTTTGATTTTGGTAAAAGATGATTAGGTGGTTTCTCTGTAGAATGAAATCAACCTATAAAAGATGGAGCAAGTGGGCAGTGGCAGGAAATTTAACATTTCTCCTTATTGCCTCCAAAGGGTGCCTGGGCACTGTTGGGAAATGCAGGAGTGATATCCAGATTTATCCTGTCCTGAGCTACTGAGTGCTGCTGCTAAGTCAAAGTTATGGTAATGGCTTTTGTGGTCCTTTTGCTAAGGACAGAGCTGGGCCTTGGCAGCCATAATGTAGCTATGCCACAGGGCAGCTGATACTTTCCTAGAGAAGCCCAGAAAGGCCTGGCCAGGGAGAGCAGGTGAGGGGCTCTACTGTGAAAAATTTCTTTATCTTACTAGTTTCTGCCTCCCATGTGAAAAGAAGTTGGTAACCTGAAGTTTTAATAGGTAATATTCTGTAACTGCTGGTTTTAAGATGAGTAAGGCAAATGCCAAAGCCTATAGATTGTCTTTACGGAATTGTTTCCATCTTTGCTCTTGCACATGGCCAAAAGATTGGTAAAGGTGGTAGACCCATCAAAGGGGGCTGTGGTCAAAGCTTGAGGCCAAGAAATGGCCTGGCCTCAGCTGGAGTCCATTCTCTACTTTTCTAAAGTGTGCAGGCAGCCAGCAAGTCCCAGGCTGCAATTCCTGGCCTTGGTGGAGAGGACTGGCTCGACAGGTGTTGTAATGGGATCTTGGCAGCAGGACGGCTGCCTGGCACAGCCAGGTCCCATGGTGTGTGGAGGAGTGGAGCCAGGCCTTGCAAACCAGATAAACCAAAGCTGAACTCAGACAGGGCACCAGGAAAGCTTGGGAGAAAATAGCAAATGCAAAACCTCATGTAGTAGATTTATTTGTGGACACACATCAACAACTTCACCTTCTGCTTAAGCTCCTTTCCATAAACTTGTCCAAACAGTCTTCATTTTAAACATTTGAGGCTGAGTCCACAAAGTGCTTAAGCAAGTAGCTAATGCTAAATATATAAGTAGTTCCACTTGTGCTTGGGTTTTGCCAGATCGAAGCCTTATTTCCTGAAAACAAGCTCAGCTGCAGGAGTCAGAGCACACTGAACACTGCTTCTATGGCTTCTCCCGAGGAGAAGCAGCCTTCCTGCTTCCCAAAGCTGTTTAAACTCACAAGTACAGCTATGGCTGTGGTTTGTCCAGTGTCAATTATTTTACCTTTACCATGTCTCTACTGGTCAGTGCTATGCAGTGAGGGGACCCAGTTTCACACTGACAGGTGTAATGGATCTGCATTAGCATAGCAATCAGTAGCACTTGACCAATGAATTCCTCATGTAACACCAACATGACATGGTCAAGACCAGTATGGTGGCCGTCTTTCCTTAGGGGGAAAAAAAGGCATGCAATGCTCTGTATGCAAAGTAGCGTATTTCTTTCTAATAAAGATGGGAAAAATACACTTTCTAACTTTCCTATTCATCCAGAAAACAAGGTTAAACACAAGGACATGTGTGTAGTCACCATCAGACAATTATAAACTTCTCCCAAAAGAACTAAACCTGTGCTCTTGAACCAGAGCATGTGGCTTTATCTGGTTTTATGTAGCTGCTTTTTTAATACTGTCAAAAATGGGATCTTAAGTAATAAATTAAGTAAAGCTAAATGGGCAGCTGCTGTTCTCATGTGCTGCTGCCAAGCAAGGCATTGGTGCTGGGCTGAGAGCTCGCTGATGGCTGCTGAGTCACTCGAATCTTCCTTTTGCTTGCTGCTTCAGCTGATCCCCATTTTCTAAGACTAAACAAATACCCTCTCATTCAATCCTAGTTATACACTTTGGTAGACTTATTTGGTAAGATTATAAAGAAATAAAAATTAATTAAGTTAAATTAAATTAATTAAATCAGTTAAATTAATCCATTTCTTTTGTACAATTTCATCTGGATGGCGCTTATGATGTCAGATTTTTTTTACATAGACTGTATTGGCTTCATGGTTAGAGATCTCTATATGTAACAACAGATACAAATAGAGGGTTTTTTTTCTAATTCAGTTAAAGCTTTGAGGACTGCTCAAGCATATCGTGTTGCATCAAAATCCTGCTGTGTTTGCAGCATATGAGTTTCATATGAAGTCCAGGTGTAAAAGCAGCTTTCTTGCTAGCACACAGTTGGTCTATGTCCAAAATGAAACTTGGGGAGCAAGAAAGGACATGTCCTTGCCATTCAAAATATAAAGAAAAAATTATGTGTATGGTTGAGATCTGAGAGTGCAAAGGTGTGCTGCCAAGGGACCTGGTTACAGAAGACAAGAAGACAATTGGGTCCTGTATCTCTATATTTACTTTTTAAAAACTTACCTAACTTTAATGATAGGCTGATTAAAGTATTTTGTTAATCTCTTTTGAGAAATTGGCAAGTCACTTTTTATATTATTTCAACCCTTTACAAACTTGGGCAGATTTTTCAAGAACGTAAAAAGAAACCAGGTTCCTGACTTCCATTGAGTTGAATAACAGATGAGAATGAAGTTATCACTGAATCTGGGAGCTTCGGTCTTTGAAAGCTCACTCTGATAGATCTGGCAGTATGCTTTTAAGGGTCCACTTCCAATTGCTCCAGCAGAGCAGGCAGAGTTACTATAAGAGTGTGCAAGGTTGCAGTATTTCCTTGGATGCAGGATCCTGAACAGTATCCATTGAAATCTGTAATGTACACACAAATCAGCTGCCTGCCTTTGTAATGCTGAATAACGGGACTGACTTTTGCTGTAATATCCCTAGGTGAGGATGGGGAGGACAGAGTCATAAGAAGGCTTTATAAGTATAAGAGTGTGAGCATGATACTGTAGTATCTATAGTGTTTGAAGATATTAAACCTACTTCCAGCTATCACTTTTCTGTGGACTCTCGATGTTTTTCCTGTGCGTGAACCAGAAGTGAATGAATGTGCCATGATCACGGCCACAGCTTTTGTACTTCCAAGCATTTTCTTTAGGAGGCAAACTGGAAACTAAAACCAAAGACAAGTGTTTGAAAACAGGTTAAGCTTGTCTTGGCTGTTAATTTGCCTTACTCTTTAAGAGTTAAGATTAAGTTGTAAATCAGGTTGAATTTGAATCTTTATGCAAAGATGGTAAAACATCTGTCATTGAGGTGGGGACTGGTAACTTCCATGGTGAAGCTCCTGTTTTGTATCTGTTTGGGTTTCTGCCTTCACTGATCGCTCAGAAAGGGCAGGTTAAAACAAACCCTGTGCACCTCTCTGCGCAGGTCTCACATGGATAAAATCACCCTTTCATGTTGTAAATTGCTCTCTGTAGGTTGCCTGATTAAAAAATGCTTTGCAGAGTCTTTATGCAAAATGCTACTTACTGGAAACGTTCAGAGTGTTGCATAAAAGCCAACAGCAAGTGATATCATAGATGCATATCTGGAGAATGAAAGTATGTCCTTAGGTAACTACATTCAGGGTATTTATCATAGTTTTGAGCTGGGTTTTGCTTAACCTCTCCTGTGGGGCAGCCAGACAGTTCCAGAGGGTCCTGGGTCCTAGGAACCCCCCAGAAGATCCAGGGTACACTCTTTTCCTTGCACAAGTCCCCAAGTGAGCATCATGAATCTTAACTTTAAGACAAAGCAACATGACTTTTTAGTTAAGACCTGACTAGGAAAACTCCCCCCTCATTTCAAACACATTCCTTCTGGAGATGTTTCAGAGCCAGGTCTTCCTACTCATTCCCAAACTTCACAGGTTTGTACCATAAGCACGCTGCAGATCTTGCAGTCCAGACCAGGCATGACTTTACCAGTCATTTCTACTGCCACAAAGGAAATTAAAACGTTTCCTAGCTGTTCTCTGAATTTGAAAGGACTTTTGTGCCAATTTACACCAGCCTTCAACATCACCCAGTTGTGTCTTTTCACACATAGCAGAGTTTCTTCCTCTCTCCTTGACTGCACTGCACTACCTGCAAATCAGCCAGCAGCATATATGTACCTTTATGGGAATGTGTACATAGCTAATAGAAAAATGACTGTACTGGTTTTGGCTGGGACAGAGTTAATTCTCCATAGCTGGGATGAGGCTATGTTTTGGACCTGTGCTGGAAACTGTTGATAATACAGGGATGTTTTCATTATTGCTGAGCAGTGCTGACCCCAATGACCAAAGGGATATCACATACCATAGGATGTCATGCTCAGCATATAAAGCTGGGGGAACAAGGAGGATGGGGGGGATGTTTGGAGTTACGGTGTTATGCATGATGGAGCCCTGCTTTCCTGGAGATGGCTGAACACCTACCTGCCCATGAGAAGTAGCGAATGAATTCCTTGTTTTGCTTTGCCTGCATGAGTGCCTTTTGCTTTCTCATTAAACTGTCTTTATCTCAACCCATGACTTTTCTCACTCTTCTGGTTCTCTCCCCATCCCACTGCGAGTGGGAGTAAGTGAGCAGCTGCGTTGTGCTTAGTTGCCAGCTGGGGTTAAATCATGACATATGTCTATAGATTATTTTTTAATTGCTTGCATCTTGGGCAAATTCAGGAAAAAACATGCTTAAGAAATCCTTTTTGAAGGAAAGAGTACTGAATGCTTAAGGCTTCCCCTGGCTGGGAATTGTATACCTGTAATGGAGACTCAGTGAGGGATGTTGGTGTCTGATACTCACCATCGAGGCCTTCCACGGACAGCTGCAGGCCAAGGTTGTGCTGGGGATTCACCACCCAGTGATTACTGGTTGCAGTAATGTCAAACACCAGCCACCCTTCTTCTGCGGCCCAGATTGTTCGAGAGTCGAGCAGGAACAAATCTGAATCCCTGAAAAAAACCAGAAGTGTAATTCCCAGTTACCCAGGCTTTCCACTGGAGTCTATAGACATTCATGTAACATGCTTTAAGCAACACACTTTGTGGGCCTTTCAGTAATAGGTGGAGGATGCCAGTGCTGGGCTGGCGTGCTTTCCCCACTAATTACCTTCAGATGAAGCACTTTTCTTCTCTTTAAAAAAGGGAGGATGGGTTGAAGCAGAGTTGAGGTGGCTTTGGGTTACTTTGCTGTTACAGTTAACCTTAGAGCTGCTGCTGCTACGTCAGGAAAAAAACGCTTGCCAGGCACAGATTTACAAAATTACTGTTTGCATATGCAAACTTGGTAATTGGGCAGACAATGCTGCTCATTATCCTTTCCACACATAATTTCCTGACTTTTATGCATAACTGTAGCACTGGTGCAAATCCAGCTGGAACACTGGTGTGCATATATTAACATATGTAATGGTTTTTAAAATTTGTTCATCTGAGGTTACAGATAATTGATTGAGGCAATAACCCTCTGCGCAGTCACAGGTCTGCGTTGCTTTGGGTGGCACTTTTCTTTCAACTCGCTGCCTGAATTTTTTAAAGGCCTCTGCTGAGTTATTCTGGTTGAAGAACTAATACTCAAAACTGAGAAAGATCAGAAATGGAGAGGATTTCATGCATCTGAAAAGAGTGAAACTTTTCTTGTTTTACAAAATGTTTCCTGGTGAATTTCTGTAAAATGAAAATTTGAGAAAACACAGGTTCTGTTAAGAAGGAATCTTATCAGAAATTAAGACCAAGATAAAACTTGGATGGAAATAGTGAAAAAAATGGATAGTGATGCAGTTCCTTTATAAAAAAAAATGTCTTTACAAGAGGAACAAAGAAACAGAGTGGAAATGCCTAGACAAGTCCCATAAGAGCTGCTTTTGTACTTGCAGTGCACAAACATAGTAACTTTTTTAAGTATTGCTATATCCCTTTGAATGAAGAAATATCCTTTGAAAACTCTTTAATCATGTCCTCAAAGCAGAGCTTATTAATTTTGCTATTATTGATTTGTCAGTGCAAATAAATATATGTAACTTAGTTTGTACAGTGCCTCTTGCTTGCAAGAAATACCAAGTGATTAGAAACGAATCTGAGAAGTGCTGTCAGCAGAGAGGCTTTTGTCTCATAGCTTTTAGTGAAAAGAATCACTAAGATTCCCTGTGAGATACCAAGAAATTAGAGGCTTTTGTCCCACACAGCTGATTCAAACCAGAAATGGAGTTATCTTGCAATGTTTTTACTCTCTAGCTTTCCTTTCAACCTCTGTGGGCCAAGGCATATGAGAGATGATGGTTTTCCTCCGTGAGCGAATGGATGTCACTGCCTCTGGCTCTGGGCTGGCTTACATGAAATTAAACTTCTGAAATTAGTTCCTGCAGAGCACGCGAGTGCGCTGCCCAGCGTGTGTAAAAGGAGGATTCTGCTCTTTTCTCACCACCGCATGTTGCTGCTTAACTTTGGATGCAACAGGGCTGAATTTGCAGACACGGCCAGTGCTGCTGACAGTGCAATTAGTGCTGCCTGAGGAATGCAGTGGCTTTCTGCCTTGCAAGAGCTGTTTTGCAGCTGCGGGATTGCACTGCAATTCTTCCCTTTGCTCAGCATGTTCTTACCATGGAGGAAGGCACAGGAGAGGGGGAGCCTTGCTTTCTTTTAATCAAATTTTTGGTTTGTGGAAGAAGCCCTACATCAGAATTGAACTTGCTGTGACACTTTCTTGCTAACACACAGGGAGTATTTTGGTGATGTTTGGGCAACCAAAGCGGGTGGCTCAGGAAGGGACCTTAGTGCAGCAATGGAAAGCCTCAAGCCAGGTATGGAAGCTGCTCTCTAGAGCTCAGTTAGCTTTGCTGGGACAGCTGAAGATAAACAGTGTAGATAACCCCCTCCCTCCACATACACATCAGTTACAGGAATGTAAGATCCTTGAACTCTAACCGGGGGACAAATTTCAAATTTCCTGGGGTTTCATCCCCACCCAGAAGCGATGGCCCTGTTTCCACAGTGCATGACGCAGCCACGTGAACACCTCCCACCCTTCCCTGTTTACAGCATGCCGAACAAAACGCATCCCAGAGGAGCCAGGGACGAGGGAGTAGTACTGATTGGCCCGTTCCAATGGCTGAGTCCAAGTTTCCAGAAGTAAAGGGTTTTTATATTCACATACTGCATCATTTAAGCATGGCCCCTGACTGGAACTCGTGATTCACACAAGGTTTAGTTAACTGGGACTTGGCTTGGTTGGTTTTTCTCCCTTGTAGTTTGCAGGTTGAAGATAATAGCAGTAATGATTTTTTGATTATTTTTTTCTTAAACTACTGCTCAACTGCAGTATTATTACTCAGAAAAACCAGCCTTTAAGCTTCCCATGCTGACATGATGCAATCGGAGTAACCAGACAACATAAGGCATCAAGTACCAGGGTGAGTCAGTCTGGGAAATTGTATAATTCGTTTGTTTTCCTGTAGTTACAGCAATAAGCAAACAATAGGCCTGGAGGGGAAGCCCAAAGCCAGAGAGATCAAAGGGACACACTAAGGGGAAATGTCCTTCCCACACACTCTTGGAACATTTAGACCCAAAACCACCCCTTGTCAGATGCGCTCTGGAGAAGCTGAAGCACTCCTGGATTAGCACTTTCCACTCTGGCCCACCAGCAGCGGCCAGGGATGGGATGCAAAACCTGACTGGCATTGCAGGCAGAGGCTCCTGAGGTTGTGGCGCCTGTTCTGCTGGAAAGAAACCTCTTGTTCTTTTAAAAAGAACAACCTCTCTGCAAGTGAAAAGCCCCGCTCTCCAAAGACTTATGGCAAACAGCATTAAATCACTAGCTAATAGACAGCAAGCTCTTTAGACATTGTTGGACAAGACATAATGAACATGGCAAAGGAACATTATTCTGCTTAGACTTAAACAAAATTTGTTCTGAGGGTGCCCAACTAATGAGTTGTCATATCAGACAGTGCTAGTTAAGTCTAACTAATAATAAGGCTGGTTTGGGTTTTAGGTTTGAGATAAAGATCCAAGCAAAAGGGAAAAGGTTTCTAGTGCACGTCTCACCCTCTGGTACCTTACCTATCAATTGTAGGCACATTTAGAGTACTCTTGGAGCAATGTGAATAATGACTCTACAACCAGGAGGCAGAAGAGCACTCTGGCTCCTTGGCTCTGCATTCAGTCCCTTCATTTGAGAACTTCAGAGCCTTTGCAGAAATTGTACTGAACCTCCAACCAGACCAAGAGATAGGAAAAGGCATATGATCCTCATTTTACAGAAAATTACGCTGGGACGTGAAAATGTTAATGTCTAGATTAGAGTTACATAAATGATGAAGTCTGGATCCAGACCACAAGTATGTTTTGTTGAGACCACATCAAAATGGCTCAGCGTTCAAAGTACTAACATCAATGGGAGTGTCAGAGCTTTTAGCAATGATAAAACTCAGGACATTCAGCTCAGTTTTCTCGAGCATCAGGCTGTCGATGGGGGCTAAGATGAGAACAGGAGGTTGGCGCTTGTCTACTGATCCCTTTGGTAGTGTCTCATGCTGGACGCCAGAAAGGGGAGGTCCCTCTTGTTAGAAACAGTCCCAAAAATTTGTCTGCAGGTCATGCAACTGCTGTGCGGTCTGTGAAATTTCCTTAGTAAACATGGTGCTTTCTGGAATCAAGGGTGAATAACAAGTATTGCAAAGTGAAGGTGGCTGGGGAGGACGCATATAAGATCTGTCTAAAAAGTGGCTGGAGTTATGGAGGTAGAAGGGCTCTGGAGGGCTGGTGACATGAGTGGGGTAGTAAAAGCAACCACAGGCGATTAGTGGAAGAGAAAAGGACTACAAGAAGAAATAAGGGGAGACAAAACACAGCAAAGGGAAGTAAGAGTATCCTGAAAGGAAACAGTAAGAAAATTGCCGTGTGGCAACGCAGTAATTCTAAGAAGAGAATAAGGATTAACAACCGTGAAGCTTCATTAAAATAGTATGTATGGGCTTTTTGCCTTTTGCTGGGGTATTTTTTCAGCCTCCAAGATGCACTTTTGTTTGCAGCCATAAATGTTAGAAGCATGCCCAAAAATTAAAGTGCAGCATCTCTCCTAATCATCTGCCTTGATGAGCTGGGGCATGAGGAAGAACGTGGGAGGAGGAAGAGAGACTCAGTGAAAATACAAGAGCTGGTAATTCTGCAATTGCAAGAGAGAACACGTGATGAAACTCTGCAGTTATATACTACAATGCTATAAGGTCTGTACTGCTTTAGGGTAGCCCTCCTGCCAAACAGCATCTTCTCTTTTGTCTATTATTTTCTTCACTCACTTTTCTCATCCCCCATGTCAGCTCTGTTATTTCAAGCTGTTGGTTGACAAGTGGTAGTAAATACTAATAAGCACTTCCAAATGGGATAAAAATAAATGGGCAGAAGGACAGACAGCGGAAGAGAAGGTGACTCTCAGCAACTTCCATTACATTGCAAGATGAGCCTATTTCTGCAATGTGCTGACGATCCCGGTTGGGAGCAGACGTGGAGCTCTGGCTCACCTGGCTGTGTCCTCGCAGCAGCCAGCCCAGGGCCACTGCCACAGGTCCTGCTGACCCCTGCCTGCGCTCAGGTCATCTGCCAGCCCAAAGAGCCCGGCTCCTCTGGCCACTGCACCGCACTAATCCCTACCTGCTAGTTCGAAGAATTACAGATCAAACAGCGTTTTGAACAGTAACGACACTGTGACATTTCCCAACAGACTTCGAATGGCTTTACAAATATGGGTCAACCCTCCCGCTTCCATTTTAAAGTGGGAAACACTTGAGACACAGATATGTTAAATGTCTTATTGGCTTGGCATGTAAACCCCAGCCACTAAGCCAGGAGCATAATCCTATCCTCTTGACTGGCATTTTAACCCTAGAGGGGCTGTTTGGGTCCCAGGCATGGTGCAAGACAGCCCAAGGACAAAGCTGGCATGGGGGGATAGG